CCCTGGGCCGCCCCGTCGGAGCGCGGCCACGCGCCGCTTCCCTGTCTCCCCGGCTGCGAGGACGGAGGTTTATGTCATGATTCCTCCCGGGGCAGTTGTGAGTCAGAGCTCTTGCAAGGTAGAGCAGACGCGCAGCCCGCGCACAGTGGCCTATCGAGGGGTCCAGCCCGCCGGGCGCCCGCCTTTGTGTCCCCGAGTCCTGTCGCGTGGGCCATTTCTGAGGGGCGTGAGGCAACAAGTCCCGGCGATCTGGGCGCTGGCAGTGGTCGGGAAGCATGGGTACTTACCAGCACGCCGACAATGCGATCGTGCTGCCCAGCATTTCTTTCAAGACCTGGTATTTTTGAAAGGGTTCTTGTGACCCGTGCTCGGACTCCTCCTTGCGCGGCTTCTGGGCAGCACGTCAGGAGCGGTGGTCCTCCCTGGGAATATGGTCACAAAGTGGGAGATTGCGAACGAGCACCGAGCCCCGCGCCGAGGGCGCCAGCCCGGAGCACCCTCAGCTCGCTGCTCTTTGTGGAGAGGCAAACTGAGCTGCACCCGGAGGGGTCTCACCTGATCCCTTCCTCGCCTTTGCCGCAAGGAACCGGAGGAGGCTTCTCAGCTCAGCTGTGATAGACAAAAACTGCCTCTCCGGGTCCTACCCTCGCCCCCGCCCCCCCCGGTTGTTTATTTATTTATTTTTGCTGACAGTGCTCAGTAACAGAAAATAGCGGTGTGCGAGAAAGACGCTGGCTAGTATACGACAGCAGCCGCTCTGCTGACTCTGCTCAGCTCAGCCTCCCCCCACCCCCCCAAAAAACCCACAACAAAACAGCTCTGGGCATAAGTGCTAACTGCTTCCAGAAATCCAGGAGGGTTGAGCAAGAGCACAAAATATCTTTTTAAGGCCACTGAAATACAGATTGAACTGTCATAAAGAGGATAGCCATCAAATGAAAGGATTTTTGTAGTTGAGTATGATAGATGTTTTGTATTGTTCCTCTGCTGAATGGGTGACATGCTACTTTTTGTTTCTATTGTATCCTTGTGCCCTGTAAATTTTTGTTTGTTTGTTTGTTTGTTTTGGTGGAGGAGGGGACAACACGGAGTTGACATCTTTGCCGTTTGAGTACATTGTCCAGAGCTTTTAGTCTGTTCTTTTGTCTTAAAATTTGAAGCATTTACTCAGTAGCCTATCAAAGGTAGTGTGAGATTCAGACTTCATTAGTTTTAAGAATACTTTGGGAGTATGTGGTGAAAAAAAATTTCTGGAGCAAGCCATTAACTTTTACCAACATATGGAATACTGTACAAGTGAAACACAATTTACCATTCCATTGACATGACTGATAACCTTGTCTTTTTAAGGTATTACAAGAAGGGAATTAGTTATTTTTCCCAGTTAGTAGAACCTCTGAGGTTAGTCGATTGTAAAGTCATGGTAATTTTTTTCAGTTGCTATTGAGAAAAAGAATAAGTTAAACAGGATTTACTAGATACATACTAGCTATATCTTACTATACATATATAGTACTGTAGTGTAGTGGTTGTGTTTATTTTCCTGCTGCTCTTATTTTACATTATTACAATTTAATGTTATAAAATATTTAAGCATGATGTAATATGGCCACACAATAGTAAGTATCCACGGTTTAGGCAATTGTGCCTTGTGATTCTTGCCAAGAATCTAAAGAAACACAGGGATTCTAAAATATATGTAATGTTATTCTTTGGCACCACTATTTGAATTACTTTAGTTTTCACCCTTGTTAGAAAAGAGTATCTAATATGAAATTATTGTTTACATAAGACTTTTTTTGAGCATTTGGAGATTGAGCTTAATTTTTCCTCCTGTACCTTTCTGTAGTTTGTGTGTGTGTGTGTGTGTACATGTGTGTGCACGTGTGCACACTGCTTGCTTGTCAAACACTGGGTGTAGTTTTTTAAAATCAGAATAAAAAGGATGGGTGAGCTACTTACTAGGTTCAGTAATGTTTCCAACATTTTAAGACTTGCAGTACTGTATTTTAAAATTTTTTTGTGTGATGATTTGAACTCTTTTTCATTGAAATGTTGTGTAGTATGTTTGTGTTTAAATAAGGTGTGTATTTTACAAAGATTTTCATGACTTTTGAGACAGAGACCCATTTAGGGTATTACAGATTTTGAAAGGTGTCCCTAGGTTGGATTGATGATAGCCACATTTGGTAGATTTTAGTTGTAGGCAAGTCTGTGGAAGTACTGTATTGGTCTAGCCTTTCCTGCTGCAGCAGATATACTGATCTGGCATTTAGGATATGATTATTAAGGTAATCAGAATCCCTTATATCTTCTCAGTGATGGTTACCACAGTTACCAAATCATCCTTTCATTCTTTCTGATATGTAGATGTATTTGTAGACCATGAAAAATGAAAGTATACCTAGGAGGGTTGTAGTATAATTGCTCCCCTGTGAAGAACGTCGTTCACAGCTCCCTGCCAGTTTTGAAGGTCATTGCTTCATAAATGCAGATCTGGTACCTGTTTTTCACTCATCTGTTTTATTTATGCATATCTACTTTTTTAACTACATTTACTACCTTTATTATTTTATTATTTGGGAAAAATAGGAAAAATTAAAAATGAAAAACCTGCTTAATAATTTTTTAGCTCAGACTGAATGGAATCATTTAACTGCCTAGGCATGCAATAGCCCAAGGAATATATTTTTAGTCATCTTTCATGTTGCAAAAGTTTATAAATTATTAAGAATATATATATATAACAGAATTTCTAGTAGAAATATACTGAGAAAAGTATATTTTTAAGTGGGAAATACTAATAGCTTTTTTGTGATTACTGAAAGGTAAAGCTACTGTAGAAGTGAATTTAATTTTATTGGGGATACATTAAAATAACTGATTCAGCAGCTGGGTTATGCTAATTTTTAAATAAGTTATTACCATCATAAAATGTGTACACAGAGGCTGTTCTATAGTGGAACCAGTATTTGGATTTGGTTATGGCTTCACCAGTTAGTAATTTTGGCACCGAGGGGGGAGGGAGAGAGAGAGCAAATGAATTGAGCCCTGTGCTTGCCAGGCACCCTGCATGCATTGTTATCTCTTTTCCCTCACAATAGCCTTATGGAATGATTATATATTCATCGTACCAGATGAAGAAAATGAGATTGGGGGTTGGTGGGAGGGCCCTTGTTTGTTGAATGGCTAACTAAGCATTCTCTTAGATACCTTGCTTATGTCTAACATCAACTATTTGAGAGATAGCTTGTATTATTTCTATTTTACAGATGAAAAAACAGGTCCACAGGGGTCAAAGGAACTTGATCAGTGTTAGGAGCTGGCCCTGCCATATTTAAATATTGGTCTTTTGTCTCCTAATCCCATTTTTTGTTTCCACTCCATTCTGGCTGTCCAAGTCACTTTACCTTTGTCTACCTTAATAATCTCATCCATAAAATGGAAATAATACTTATTTCATAGTAAAAAGAAAATTATTTAGAACTGTTGTAAGTAGGGAACATTAAAAAAGACTAGCATGCATTGTGGCTTATTGATTCAAGTAAAAATATAATTGGAAAATGTTTTACTTTTTTTAAAGAAAATAAGTTAGGTTAGGTCTTAATTACCCTTTAAAATGATTTCTGATCAATCTTAATGAAATTGCAAAACTTCTGGCTGAGATAACTTGATTCTTAGAGCTCTTCTTTAAAATTCAGAAGTTTCCATTTAGCTCCTTTATCTCCTATGAAGTCTTTGGCTTTAGAGGGGCGTTTATTTATTCCTAAACTATGATTTGTCTTTTCTAAGAATTTCTGCTTTATATCTGGTAAGTACAATCTCTTATTAATGCAAAGTGGATGTTAGAAAATTAGAATAATTTTATTCATAGAGAAGAACCACAAAACTATTCTATCTTCATGAATATTGATTTTTTAAATAATTAATTTTAACAGGTAATTGTGCTTGGTAGCTTTATTACAATAGCAAGTCAGTTAGACTCTTGAACTGGGAGAGTTCCAGAATTTGCACTCTAGAATCCTAGAAGCACTTGTATTTGCTCTTAATTTCTGTATTAATAATTTAATGTATAAAACTAATGCAAATCTGTGTTTTTAGTAAAGAAGGTAAATTTTTGATATACCATTGTGCTCTAGTCTTTTTTTTGGTTTTTCTCCGGTACCGGGAACCGAACTCAAGACCTTGCGCTTGCCAGGCAGGTGCTTTGCCTCTGAGCTAAATCCCCAGCCCCAAAGAAGTTTTTTAGTTTTTGGTTTTTTTCTCCGGTACCGGGAACCGAACTCACGACCTTGTGCTTGCCAGGCAGGCGCTTTTGCCGCTGAGCTAAATCCCCCTAGTCTTTTTGTTTAAAGGAGTGTTAGTGGCAACTAAGAGAGATCCAGAAGTATTCACCACAGCAGATTTTACTCATGGGTATTTGTATGAATTTCCATTCTATTAAATACTTGGACTGAATATGTTAAATGAGGCAGTTCAACTTAATGTATAATAAAAGAGCATGTGTCTTTTCCAGTCTTGTTTGTTACATTGCTCAGAAACTCATTTATTATAGTTTTCCTGTCACTAACATCAGACTTTTTTAAAAAAGACATTTTTGTTATATAGTTGTAGTGGTTTATGCATAAATTTGAACATGTCTAAAGCAAAATAAATAAGCAATAATTTTAGAAGAGATTTACCAGTCGTGTAATAATTATTACATTAAAGCTGTTAAAAAGATCCAAAATGTTTTTACAGTAGATTATAATTTACAGTTTGTAAAAGAGATAGCTGTAAGTCATGAACCCATCGCACCTCGTTCAAAGCCTTACTTACAGTTCAGTAAATCTGTTCTGATTTGTTTGGTTGCTGTGTTAACTTTCA